GGGCCGACTCGACGGCACATAACAACAACAACAACAATATGATTGTTACTATTAGGCGCCATCAAGTTGTTTCTGACTCATAGTGACCTTATGGACAACAGAACAAAACATTGCCCAGCCCTGCACCATGCTCACAATCATTGCTATACTCGAGCCCACTGCTGCAGCCACTGTGTCAATCCATCTTGTTCAGAATGTTCGTATTTTTTTGCTGGACCTCTACTTTTCCAAGCATTATGTCCTTCTCCAGAGACTGGCCCACTCTGATACCAAGTCCAAAGGATGTGAGATATAAAGTCTCTCCATCTTTGCTGCTAAGGACCATTCTGGATGTTCTTGTTCTAAGACAGATATGTTTATTCTTCTGGAAGTCCATGTGTATTTACTATCCTTCACCAAAATCATTATTCAAATGCATCAATTCTTCTTCTGTCTTCCTTATCCATTGTCCAGCTTTCACATACATACAAGATGACTGGAAAAATACCATGCCTTGCTTGGGTCAGGTGTATATCAGTCCTCAAAGTGATATCTCTGTTTTTTGACACTTTTTCAAAGAAGTCTTTTGCAGCAGATTTGCCCAATGTAATGCATTGTTTGAGTTCTTGACTGCTGCTTCCATGGGTGTTAACTGTGGATACAACTAAAATGAAATCTTGACAACTTCAATCTTTTCTTAGTTTATCAAGATGTTGTTTATTAGATATGAGGATTTTTGTTTTCTCTGTGTTGAGCTGTAATCCATACTGAAGGCTATAGTTTTTGATCTTCATTAGTAAGTGCTTCAAGTCTTCTTTGTTTCCACCAAGCAAGGTTGTGCCATCTGCATATTGCAGGTTGTTAATGAGTCTTCCTCCAATCCTAATGCTGCATTCTTCATATAATCCAGCTTCTTGGATTATGTGTTCTGCATACAGACTAAGTGTGGTGAAAAGACACACACTTTTCCTGATTTTAAAATATACAGTATCTTCTTGTTCTGTCTGAATGACTGTCTCTTGGTCTATACAGTACAGGTTCTATTTTAGTACAATTAAATGTTCTGGAATTCCCATTCTTCTCAAAATTATCTATAATTTGTTATGATCCAAACAGTAAAATACCTTTGCATAGTGAATGAGACACAGGTAAACATCTTTCTGGTATTCTCTGCTTTCAGCCACTTTCCATCTGACATCAGCAATAACATCCCTTGTTCCATGCCCTCTTTTGAATCTGGCTTGAATTTCTGGCAATTCCCTGTCAATGTACTGCCACAACCATTTTTAAATTATCCTCAGCAAAATTTTACTTGCATGTGATATTAATCTATTCCTTGAGCTTTGTTTTTACCCAGTTCCTTCAGTGCAGCTTGTACTTCTTCCTTCAGTACCATTAGTTCTTGATTATATGCTGCCTCCTAAAATGGTGGTATACTGATTAATTCTTTTTGATACAGTGACTCTGTGTATTCCTTGCACCTTCTTTTGATGCTTCCTGCATCGTTCATTGTTTTGCCCATAGAATCCAATATTGCAACTTGAGACCTGAATTTTTCTTCAGTTCTCCTCACCTTGCTTTGCATTGGATCTGTCTACACAAAATATCTGTCTCCTATTGGAGATTCTGTGAAATTGTTTTCCTATGCTCTTCCCCTAAGAATGCCACTTGGTTTGTCTCAGATGGTATGTTGCACCAGGCCAGCTAGCAGGGTGCCCTACAGTCTGTAAATCTCCTTGCTTTCATTCAGTTTCTCCTTCCCTTCAGTATTTGATCTAATTCTTTATCTTTCCATTTGCTGTTCGGGATTCCCAAATTGTCATCTGTATCTGCTTAACATGGTTTCTTGGTTCTTCACTGTAGAGGAATGGCATGGTGTATGTGCCTAAGCCACCATCTTTGACCATCTCCTGAGAAGTTCTTCTTAAGAGTGACCTGCTTTATTTTTCTTCATCTCTCTTAGCACTAACTGACATTATATCATAAACTTATTTGTTTATTGCTGATTGCCCAACTTGATTGTTCAGGCATTCAAGATTGGCGGGACTGTCCAGTTCAATGCTATATCTCCAGCACCCACAACATGCCAGACGTATTGCAGCTGTTCATACATATTTGAGTGAGTGATTTAATTTATTCTCATCGTAAGTTGCCCCTAGACTTCATGACTATGAAGAACTGTAAGCATCATTTGCAGAAACCTCGAATAAACAAAGACAAAAGGCCCCCAGGGAAATGTATTACCCATCATTTTCTAGTACTTTCTAAAAGAGTCTGCTTTCTGGGTTGGTACTTTCAAAATGGAAGTAACTTTGAAATGAGGAAAAAACTCTTATTGGCAGATGCTTTAAAGGTAATTTGCTTCAAAATGCATTGATCCATGTCACTTTAGTCTTGTGTATTTCACTGTACATAAATTATATTTTAATAAAATGCATTAAAAAAAAAAGGTAATTTGCTTCAACCAGCCACAGGACATATGAACCCCTCTAAAACACCAGTAGCCACTATGCTTAAATATGTCAGAGAACACACTATTTACTGCAACAGAGCTTTTTCTAATCCTGACAATGAGAGCCTTCCCTTAAATTGGGCCAAAGTCAATATCTCTAAAGCCTTCATATAGCTCTACCACTTGAAAGTCTTAATAAATCAATCTTAGTCTAAAAAGCAACTTGAGATCTAGTTCATTTCATCAGTACCTTTTTGAATGTGAATACTATGACAAGTAAGTTTTCAGTTACTGATTCCCTCTAGTTTTCACATTCCTAAATGGAACAACAGAATAAAAAGTTTAATTTACCAATAAAAATACTTAATGGTTTTTAACAGTAATAAATTATAGTTTGTTGCTGATAAAATCCTACAGTATCATTCTGATGCTGATATTTTACACATTAGCCACAGCATTTATCCTAAGTAAATTAAATACTGTAATAAATCCCATCTACATGTAGGGCAATTTAGGAACCCACATACTAATGATCAACTTTAGGCATCATGAGATAGAAAGCTTATTACACAAACAATCAATAGACCTGCCTTCTACTCCTACTACTGTCACTTACTCTGTGACCTAGATCTGTTTTCTTCCTGTGTAAAAGTAAAGCACTGGAATATATACTCTTTGAGATTTCTTTCAGCTCAATATGAACTAACAAAATCAAAGTAAAAACTTTCATGTTTTCATGTTTCTAGTTTTTAAATCATGAATTTGTGACCAACCAGTCCATGCTTTGAGAGGTGACCGAACAGGTGACACTGGTGGAGAGCAAGAATCCCTACAGATGAGTTTTTGCTGCTCTATCAATTGCAGCAGTTTGCCACGAGCCTCCATACTCTGTCGATTCAATTCTGCAATGCGTTCCTCCATGCTACTTGCTAGAGATTGTGCTGCTGGAAAAGTCTTTAAAAAAAAAAAAAAAGACACAAATTCAGTATTGAAACAAAAAATTACACAACTTTTGACTTTCTACAAAAATAAACTCTTCCACAATTACCAGGAAGTTAGTATTCATAACACTTACTATATAAAAAACTTGAATCAAACCAAACCAAACTCACTGCCATTGAGTCAATTCCAACTCATAGCGACCCCTCCATTGTGTTCCCAAGGCTGTAAATCTTTACAGAAGCAGACTGACTCATCTTTCTGCTGTGGAGCAGCTGGTGGGTTTGAACAACTGACATTTTGGTTAGCAGCCAAATGCCTTAGCCACTGTGCCAAACCAATCACTGCCACTGAGTTGATCCTGACTCACAGCAACCCCCACTGGGTTTTCAAATCTGTAAATCTTTACAGAAGCAGACTACCTCATCTTTCTTCCAAGGAGCAGCTGGTGAATTCAAACTACTAACCTCTCAGTGAGTACTCAAATACCTTAACCACTACACCAACAGAGCTCCTTATAAACCTGAATAGTGGGAAAATAACTTACAAATCATTTACTGGAAAAATTAGGACTAAAGTAAAGAGATACTAGTCCCTCAATTACCGATGCCACAGAAGCTCTTGTGTCCCTTTGTCTATGAACAGTCTAGAGGACAAACTTTTCCAGCCTCTGCTAGTGTTTTGTTGAAGACTCCTCCTGGTAACCTGGCCTCTAGGAAAATGTTAAAGGCCACACACCTAGTAATACAAATCTACATTTGAATCACAATATATAAAGTAAAAGAGGATCTACTGTAGTGGCTAAGGCACTTGACTGCTAACCAGAAGGCTGGCGGTTCAAACCCACTAGCCACTCCTCGGAAGGAAGGTTGGGCAATCCTACTTCCGTAGTGATACTGCCTCGGAAACCCAAGGAGGGGTTGCTATGAGTCAGGGCTGACTCGACGGCACACAACAACAACAACAACAACTGTAGTTGAAACAGATGCTTCTGTAATCTTCAAATATGCATCTTGAGTTATTCGGCAAGGATTTCTGATAGCTTTATCACTCCTCCTGACCATGTGACAATCTCCCTAGGCTACTTCTAGTCTAAGACAGCTGACTGAATAGTTTGTGGTTGGAAAGAGAGGTAGAGTAAAATACAATCAACCCAAGGACTTCACATTAATTTAATGTGAAAATTCCAAAAAGAATGTACTTATGTCACTCCTAATTATTTCATTTAGCTAAATATGTCTCTCGGGGGGGGGGAGGAGCAATCACTAATAGAAATCATTAACTTGGAACTTATTCCCACTAGTAAAAAATATAAGCCAAACAAAATGAAGTAAGGATTATTTTGTATTTCCACTTATAACAAAAAAGGGGGGTGAAAGCAGCGATATTAGATTGTCCTCTCCAGCCTGATCTATATATAAATTAAAAAAGGAGGCAAACTCAGTATTTAACAATATTGCCTTTTCAAACTAAATGTTAATTATTTGAAATAACTTTGAAAACTGCAAATATCAGAGTATCAGAATGTCTCCCAATGACTCAAAATTAAGGCATTTGGTGCTCACATACACCTGTACTGATGACAACTGTGTATTCCCAGTACTCTTTTCCTGGCTCTGCTTCTGCCAGGCCCTTCTGACCACTAACCCTGTCACTTAATACCCACAGTGCCCTTGTTTCCCATGAGCCATCACTGACAGGTGGTCCATCTCCCTCCAGCCTTCCTCACTAAAGCCCTTCATCCACTGTTTTAATGCCCTTATGAAAGCAATCACACCAAGAAACCCCTCATCCATGAAGCTGCCTAGCTCCTTCCCACTGCTAAACAATGTTCCATCTCCTATCAGAACCCTGACAGGCAATATTTTAGCTCATGAAGAAGTCAAAGGAAGTCTCTCTCATTACTGGGGCCAGCATCAGGAGGTATGCTACAAACATCCCCCAGTCGGAGCTTTGAATCCCTTTTCTTCTCATAAAAAAATGAAATAAAGAAGATTAAAGTTACTAGATTAGCCCACAGGTTTACCTTTGCTACTCAAAAGTGTGGTCCTTGGATCAGCAGCATTGACATCAACTGGGAACTTATTAGAAGCACAGAGGCCTACCTACCCCAGACCTACTCAATCAGAAATTGCATTTTAGTTAGGATGCCTAGGTGATTTGGATGTACATTAAAGTCTGACTTTAACGATCCTTAAGAACATCATTTCTATGGGAAAGTGCATCCTATGTCCTAAAAAATTAAACTCTTCGTGAATTGAGAACTTCAGAGTTCTCTTTTATGAACCACTTTAAGAGTTAAAATGATTTCAATTCAAATGCAAACTTTCAAGTAATATACTTCTACATTTTATACTTAAAACGTCATGCCTAACTTAATCTTAGCTTTCCCATACGTTTTCCCTTTGCCTTATTTTCCTCATTCACTTATTTCTTCATTTTATATTGTCTTTATTTTATGTGCAATACATCCTGATAAATAATGGCTACCTATAAGGAGCTCTGGTAACGTAGTGCCTAAGGCACTTGACTGCTAACCAGAAGGCTGGTGGTTCAAACCCACCAGCCACTCCTCGGAAGGAAAATGGGGCAATCTACTTCTGTAGTGATACTACCTCAGAAACCCAAGGAGGGGTCGCTATGAGTCGAGGCTGACTCGATGGCACATAACAACAACATAGGGAACTTTAGTAGC